GAGCAAGGAACTGTAGCATTGTAGAGTAGTTTTTCTGTATCCTTTTGTACAAGACCTATAGGTGTAGAGAATATATCCTGGTGTTCTTATCATCCTAGCACTCCTATATGCCTTGTAGTGGATTCACAACTATTCTAGATATCTCTCTTCTTGCCTGCGTCGTTACATTATACAGAAAAACTCGTCCTAGCCAGTGACGGCCTCTAAATAATATCGCAACTTGTTTGTTTCAGATTACGCCCAAGAACCTAGTGGAATTAGAGTTAATTCACTACACACTGTTACATCTAGCATTTAGCTATAGTCAGGATACTAGAGATCTCCTAACGACTGAAGCCTTGGGTTTGGAACTTCTAAGACGATTATGTCTAGATTACTTTAGAAAAGACGCGTCAGATAGCGCCAAGGTAGAGACTAGGAGACTACCAACAACCCACCTGAACTAGAGATAATACTAATGTTAGGCAGCAACACCCCTGGTTCTAAGGAACCTACAAGAAGATTAGCCTAAGTTTAGAGCGCAGCAAATAAGGCTGCTAAACTACCCCCTAATTAAACCTTAGCAGCAAAGAATGCAGCTAAAAGTAATTAAGAAGCAGATTTAGACTTAGATAAGATAGACCTAGCAAAAGAAGTTGCAAGACTTTGTGCTAAAATCTCCTAACTAAGGGCTTCCTAACAACTATTAGACAACCTGCTACTAACTACTAAATTAATCCTAACTATGTCTTAATAGCTATTATAGTTCTAGTCTAAGACACCCCTAGACTACAATATTAGGCAGAAGCTTTCTAAACATACCCTAAAGATTAATAATCTTAACAATAGAACTAGTCTAACCTTTAAATAATAGCAGGCCTCTATACAAGACTAATTAGAAATTAACACAGATCACTATTAGAGCGAGCGCGCTTGAATGGCCTTAGTATAGGGACACACAACAGGCCTAGCCAAAGAATATCTAGAGCCTTAGTATTTAGCTAACAGTCCTTTAGAGTCATTTTAGGACGCTGAAGAGATAATCGCCCTTCTTAAGTCCTATTTCATTACAGGAAATAAGAAGGCTGAGAGTAGAGCTGTATTTGACCAGCTTACTATGGACAAGAACGAATCATTCCCTGCGTTCAAAGCTCGTTTTCTCAGTGCAGCTATACGTGGACAAGTACCTAGAACAGAGTGGTTCCACTACCTGTGGACTAAGGTTACCTTGGGACTTCGTGTGCCCAACCTAGGTTTTAAGAGGCAGTGGAATAATTTGTTTAAACTTATAGTAGAGCACTTAACTGCGTTTGATATAGAGCAGAGCAACCAACCTAACCCTACAGGAATATTTAGACGTTCTGGTGCCCCTCTAACGCAGAGCCGAAATTGTTTTGCTTTAGACACTGCTAAAAAGGTCACACCCTCTAGAGATTACAATGCTTCGTCATCGTATCAACGTCAGCCAAGCAGAGCACCATCCGTACCTGCTCTGAGGGCCTTCTCCAAGACCCCTGGACCTGTCAAGGAATCCACACCAACACCAACACCTAGTAACTGCTATAACTGCGGTAAGCCAGGACACTACGCAAATGACTGCCTAGTCCCACGCGTACGCAAGATTAAGTTAGCTAGTGATAAGGACCTTGTAGACGCCTCTAAAACACATAACTACAACACTAACAACTATAATTAGACAGGAAACAAAGAAGCCTAGGAGGAGTTCCCTTCCTAGGCCTAAACTATTATAACTTATCTAATCTTAATTTGTCTTGTTTGTTTAGTAGTTTATATTTCCTTATTAAGTCTACTTTGTGCTTAAAAGGCCTTAGTGTCTGTATTAACTTATTAATTAACACTAGAGCTTAAGGACACCTTTTTCTTAACTCTAAAATTGCTTCTTTAATTTCTTTAGCTCTTTAGATTCCTATCTAAAAGCTACCCTTTAAGATTTTAGTAAAAGGTTTTAAGGACTAGATTTTAACCCTAGTTACGTAGTATATCTAACTCTACATAATTATAGATAGTAGAAAAGTACACAACTGTCCCTTTGTTATTGTAGACTTGGGTTCACAAGACTACATTATTGGAATCTAGTGGCTAAGAAGATTCAAGCTCTGGCTGGATTTAGAGCGTTCTTGACTTATTTAGCTAAACCAGTACCTAGCTGTTTACGACCCCACTCTGCCAATACTCATGTCCCTCCGTCAAAACGTTGTATCACAACATGTTGCTCTTGACATTCAACAACGCGACAACTTATAGGAACAGGATGAGTATTAGAGAAGCCACAGCACACTAGTTATCCATTGAATTTAAGGATTACTCTGCGCGCTAAAGAGTTAGAAGTTCACACCTCCTGTGATTCTAAGTTTACCTCTAGACTTGCAACAACTAACTCTTAAAACCCCTCTAAAGCCTTCTCCTTTGCCTTCTATTACTCTTATTTCTGCAAATGCGTTCTATTTTAATATAAAAAGAAAAGAAAACAAATTCTTCACAACTAGTTTGTACAAGATAAACTAACTAATTTTGGACAAGAAACTAGAGGATAACCCTAAGAATGCTGCGCTTGTTGACGCACGACTTCCAGCTTGTTACAACCTGTATTGGGATGTGTTTAGTAAAACAGCTGCTGAGGAACTCCCTAAGCACTAACCCTATAACTACAAGATTATATTGACTAAACCCCTTCTAAACAACTTTAGTCCTCTGTATAAGCAAAACCTGGAGGAACTGGAAGCAACTAAGCAATATGTGCAGGACCACCTTAAGCGAGGCTGGA